GTCTCTAGTTTCTAATGTTCATTTGATTAAAACCTTATTAGTTTTTAAATTTTGATCAAAGTCCCTAGCATTAATATATTAATGAATTACATGTAAGTTACATAATTTTTATATAAAAAAAATTAGTAATTGATTTAGAGTTTCAATACTCACACCCTTATTAAACTCCTAATTAATTTTCAATTCAAACATTTTCCAAAAATAAAAAATAAAATTAGAATAAGTTTGTACCCATAAAATTTTTATAAAAAATTGAAATTGTTTTAATCTTATATGTATCCATTCTTAAATATACCAATTGTTAAAAATGTACCCTTTTCTAATATAAAATGTACCCATTTTTATATAAAATTTCATTCAATCTTTTCTCTAATCCATTTTTAAACTTATATGGGTACATTATATTTCGTTGATTCGAGAATGTATCCTTGTCAAGTTTAATAGAAGAAATTTAATAATGTTATTAAGCCTAATATCTTCTTCTTTTTTTGTGCTTTTTGAAAAAATGTACCCATGTTTTGGTACAATAATTTTTTTGGTTAGTTTTGATGAACATACCCATATATATACACACAATATATTGGAAAGTATAATTCATCTTTAATATTTTTAATCCCATAATTATGGGTTTTATTTAAAATCTCATTAATATAAATAACTTCAAATTTCATTTTTAATTTAAAAATATAATAACCTACATAGAAATACATTATTACATTAATGTCAGGGACTTCGATCAAAAACTAAAAAATCACAAAGGTTTTAATCAAAGAACATTGGTAGTTAGGGACCGCATCCAAAGTGTTCCAAAGAAAAGATTTCGCAAGTATAGATAAGTACTTGGATTACTCCTAATATTGTCATTGGTTTTTTTATGATGAAACCTTAATTTTCTTCAACTGGGAGGTCTTAAGTTCAACTCTCATAAATGATGAGTCCGCTACCAAATCATTATGGCTGACCCATCCGACTTAACCTAAATCTCCCACCTTGAATGTAAATATATCATTGTATCCAGAAAAAAAAAAGTCAATACCACTTAAAAAATTTCATCATTGAACTCTCAATGCTCTCATTAAAAGCAAAAAAATGTTGATTGACCCAATCCTAACATTAGTAATAATTTTTTACCCCTAACCAACCTATTTGATTGTTAATGGGTACTAGTTAAAATCCGTTTTAATTTGATATCACCATAATATAGATGTGAGATTGGTAATGGTGATAATGGTGTAAGGTAAAATCAAACAAATGGATCTTAATGGGTACCCATTAGCAACCCAATGGGTTAATTTTCCATCTTTATTGACAAGTTTTGTTCGGTTAATTTTTCTATTTAATTAATGTTTGTGACAAATGAAATGTTTTAACTTGATAGTACTTGTCACTCAGCATGCCTCACTGCAGAGACACTTCCCACCCAAGTTCCGATACTAATGTACATACAATATATACATGTTTAGTGCTAAAATTTGTACATACCTCGTCTTTGACATATAAGTAGTTTTCATAAATCGATTTGAGAAAGTTGCACCGCTCCAAAAATGCCCCAACATCTGCATGTGTGCCCATGGCATAGCCCATTGCCAATTGGTGAAGCACACCAAGCTCATTGCATATAGCTTTGTGAATGAAGAAGATGACTGAAATCGGCGACTTGGGCACTACCAACGTCGCCATCTCTTAATTTAGTCTTTGTTGGATGGTTGATTTGAGTTTGCAGGTCGGAGTAGAGGACTGGTGGAGGGAAGCATATATAGTTGGCAGGATTTACTAAACGACATGATGTTGATATCAATTAGGAATCGTCTGACCCGCAGATTTTCCACGTAAAAAAAATAAAAAATGTCTTCACGAACTGACATTCAAATGAGCCAAACGCCACACATGGCATGATTACTGCCATTATCGGCCATTATATATGGACAAATGTGGAAAAAATTGTTCAACTAATGAAAATTTAAATAATAGAAAGAATGAATAATATAAACCAAATTTGGTTGCATGCAGGAATATAAGAGGGTTTTGGGTCTTAATTGTGCATGATCCTTGCCATGCCTCCTGCTCTTCTATATTTTGTTACTTAATTGGCGAAGAAAGCCTAAGGAACCTTCTCATGCTTTTCTTTTCAATTTATTTCTTATTTTCTTGTTTGAAAAAAAAAAAATCGATATTGTATTATTGGATACAAATAAAAGTACATTGGATGTGAAGTGGAAAACAAACAAAGGTGAAAAAACTGAAGGATTAGGGGAGTCAAGTTACATAATTAGCAGATGAAGGAGCCAGAAAGACGTGCCTTCTTCCTTGTTCACAGAAACCCTTTTCTAAAGAGCAAAGAGAACAAAAGCAAGAGCAGCTTCCCCCCCCCCCCCCCCGCGGCCGGGAGCACTAATTCTAGCGGTTCCTTCTGATCCTAGAAAATGTACGAAAAAAACCTGCTACTAAACTAGCTAAGTGAATGGAAAAAAGATAACCAGTTGATGAGGTGCAAGGGCGGGTGTAGCTGATTGTACTCGGGAAGAGGAAGAAGCAAATAGAGCAAATGCCTCATCTTTCCTTCCGTCCGATTGAAGAAGAAAAGAAATGGATCGAATAGGAATTCTCATTGACCTACTTAACTCATAAAATTTGGACGTTGTTGAACTATTCTTGTAGTCTTACTCTTTTATTCTCGTAACATGGAGTACAAGTAAAATCACTACTTTTTTTAGATTCTCTCTTTATATATTGTATATTTCCGAAACTTACGTAGACTTCAAAGCATACGAGAAAGCCAATGTTTTCCTTTTTACATACAAAGAATCAATATATGTTATCTATGTCTTCAATAAAATGCTTTGTTGTTATTTGTTATTACTTATAAATTGTTAGTTTAATGGCTAGCTGACTAAACGATTCAGTGATGCCACCATCACCCTGTTCCAGAATCAGTGGGTAAAGTCTGTTGATCACTAAGATAGATCGTGCTTGTTCCGCAAGATTCAAGAACTTAATCTAGTAAGGAATTAACAAGTATGGGCATCTCCATCATTTATGGCCATGCGCAAATTTGATTCCAATAATAAGAGGATTCTCATGGAGAGTTGATTTATGTGTTGGGATGAACGTCCTCCCTCTGTAGTCAATGCTTCTGTATTTATAATGCTAACACGCTTTGTAAAGTCCATGCCGTGAGTAATAAATTCGCCAAAAATATTTTTTCCTAGGAATATTATATCCAGAATAAACCCAAGAGATTGCATCACCGATCTATCAATTGGCCAAAACTTGACAGCCCGATGAGTCTGATTGGAAAATGTCTAACTCGCTGCAAGGATAAGTGTCAATCCCAAAATGGAGACGTGCTAATGGCTTGCAAATTATCCCATGGACGTCCAAAATTTTCTCCATTGGGCCTGATATAATCCCGTGGACTACACATTTTCGCAATATTTTTCCATCTCATGTAGGCCTTTTAAAATTTAATCCAATATGCAAGCAAATTATATTGACATTTTCCAATTTCAAGATGATGTTACCCATAATGGGATAATATGGCTGCGCATGAATTTATCCACCAATTTGAGATGGACACTGTTTTTTTGCTTTCAGATTAGGGATATGGTTTGCATCCCATTCATCTATCAATACTAACTGAAATTTATTTTAATATCTTAACAAACATCCAACGGCTTAGTACACAAAGTCGAATAGTGCAAAATCTAGTCCAACCACATAGACATTGACTCCAAAGGTGGAAGAAAAATCACGTGTAGTGCCTAGAGGAATTTTGACCAAGGTGCTGTGGCAATCTAAGAGATTAATCAAATGTAGTGACTATGGATGCAAAATAATTTAGAGAACTTTTTGAAGTTATTCAGTTAAATGTTGATGTGCTAAGTCAATTTTGACTTTGTAATTGAGGTTTTTGTTCTTACCAAAACAAAGGCTGCATTTTTCTTTTGATTAAATTCCACCACAACAAAACTACGCTCCTCTAACAATTTGGTCCAAATCTAACTTAAACAAAGTTCTTAGCAGTTTCCTCAAACACACCAAGACGTGGGACCAAAGAAAGCTATCACACCAACAACGATGGCTTCTCTTTTTCAAGATACAAGTGGTATACTACATGTTTCTATACGAGTGGTGAGAAATTTTATATTTTAAGTTATTAATTTTTTAGCACGTATATCCCACAATTTGTATAATAATACATGGTGTATCACCCCGTGTACCCGTCACACTGAAAAATCTCTCCTAAGATAGCCCTTCTTGGGCCCCATGATCAAGAAGTTGACTGGTTGATAGTTTTGATCAAACCTAAATGTGCAGCCATGATTTGACTTTCATACATTGTGTGTCTTCCCATCCAAAAATTATCTATAATGAATTAATCAACTACGCGGTAGCTTAATTAATTAGTTAATTGGCATGACAAAGTCATGGCTTAATTAGAAATCTTGAACTTAGTCAACTACAGATTCTCAACACCTATATATATGTGCACGAACGCGCATCAACATTATCCAAAACCTAAACGCTTTCAAACACATTTAGATCGATCAATTTGCTATTCAAATTAAAAGTTCACCTAGCCAACCATTAAACACAACAGCTCAATCTCCCCTCTTTGTATCTAGCAATATCAATTTATCGGTTGTTCCATGGAGAAGCCAGAAGGATATCCACAAGTAGACGATATTGCCACATGTAACGAGCCATCAAGTGCAAGCACTCCATTTTTCGGCACCAAGAACGATATGTTACTGCTAGAGAGTGGCCTACTCCTGAGAAATGTTAGTGACGTAGGTGACACTTACAACAGATTTCAGTCAAAAAGTGGCAAATCAGTTGATCCAAGGTTGCTAGCTCTGGTGGAATTCTTTAGAGAACTTTATTTTCGAAGATTTGAACTATTCAATAGAATATTTCCCGGGGTTCAGGATAAATTAACTATTGAGGTGCCTAAGAAATTGGGTGTGGTATTAGCTCAAATGAAGTCGGATCAAACCAAAGCACATCGGACAATGCAACGGAGTCTAAGTATTGGTTCGCCGCGTGATTTCAAAAGAAGAGAATCCGGAATGAGGCTTCAGCGATTCAAGGTCAGGACTATCGATGTAGATGATGTCGTTGATCAAACTGCTAAACCCGGTGGTTCGAAATAGAATGTTGGAGACTCAGGAACAAGAAGACGTCCAAGTGATCAATGTCCTGTAGAAGGATCGTGGTGGTGGATAAATAGCAAATCAGGTTGTCCATAGTGTGGTTTAGCTAAACTCGTGAATGACGAGTTCGATACCAAATTAGGCTGCTCATAGTGTTGTTTAGCTAAACTCCCCCTCCCCTTAGTATAAAAATATCAAAGTACTAAAAAATAAAAAACAATAGCACTTAGATTTTCCGCCTTACTGTATAATAGCACGCATTAGCCACTTAGTACTATGATATATAGTGGTATTTCTCTTCATTTATAAGTAAGAGGTTTTAGGTTCAATTCTTGCCAAAAGTGAATTTAAACCAAATTATTGCTAACCCATTATGAGGTTAAGCCCACCCCTCCTTTAGTGTAAAAAATATCATTTGTTCAAATAAAAAAAAATAGCACCCATTAATTGGAGATTATCAAGGGAATGTTTCAGTTCAACTTAATGAGTTTTGTATATCCTTCATATATCGTATCTATCTATACTATTATTAATGTGTTATGGGATACCTTATGTTCAAAAAATTGTAAACCAAAAATAAAAATATTTAGAGCCACTTAGTACTATCATACTATGGTTTACTGTAATATATTAGAATACAAATATCTAAATTTGATATTTTTAGATACTTTTTCTTTTGAACTAAATTATTATAGCTATCCCATTATGAGGCTTAACACACTCTCTCACTCTTTGATGTACTATTGTATGTATGAAAAAAATGATAAGGTATTGCCACTTAGTGCTACGATCTAATGGTATTTGAACCATAGTACTACTACTTGCTAGCCCATTGTGAGAGGTCTTAGGTTCGATTATCGCTGAAGGTGAATTTGAACCACATTATTTTTAGTCCATTGTGAGGCTTAGCCCGCTCTCCCACTCCCTTAGTGTAGATAGTATTGTATGTTAAAAAAATGATAAGGTACTAGTGTGTTAATGATACATATAGATCCCTACAACGATTTGTTTGACCATACTTTATTACAAATTTTATAGTATTAATGATACATTATCTTTTCGTTTTTTTTTTCTTGAACGATCGCTGGTTTCGAATGTATTAAATACGAAACTGTTTTTTCAAATTCTCACCTATAATATTGAAAGTGATTGAATCTCCTGCGTAGTTAATTACGAAGTTCATAAGAGTTTTGGCGTATAAATAAACTAGCTCGCAAAACTCAATCCAAGAAATTAGTTAAATGCAATTGGTGCTCCAAGTATTATAGGATGAGTATTAATTATCTTCTGGTGATTTTGATCTTTGCGAGTCCATTTGGGGTTATTTTGCAGTCCCAACTGCCGAGTCTTCAAATTCGCCGACTTTGGATGAATGTAGAAAATATTTCTCCGTCAAGTGTGAGTTAGAAGTGAGCAAAAGTATTTTTAAAGAGGCTGTTGTAAGTGATGGTTGTTGCTATCTTCTTGTGTCTCTGGCTAAGCAATGTCACGACCTGTTCGTCAACGAGGCAATTGCTTCTAGGCCCAATGTCCACAAATCTCAAGCGTAGGCTATGAGTAAACAAATCTGGGAACAATATCTTGCATCTATAGCTCCCCCAACGAGGAAACACTAAGCCCATCTCTATATTTCATCCATATGCTTATCTGAAAGAGTGTTTCTTTTTGTAGTGAATGTTGTTGTCTGCAGTCTTGAATAATCATCTTGTACTCTTCTTATGTGTGTTTGCTTTTAATTCTACTCCTCACTTATTTTTCTGTGTGCTTAGTGTGTGAAATATATATATTTTTAGTTGATTCATCACTATTCGTTTCCTTTCTCTATTTAACTTTGATGGCGTGTTTACCAAATAGGATTGAAGTGAGAAGAAACGGAATCACACTCCTCCCAAAGCACTCGAGCGTTTACTAGGATTCACGGAATGAGAAAGTACATGGAGTCCATTTAAAATACATATACAAATGTAGTATTCGGATTCTGGTGATAAATAAAATAGTGAGCAAATCTATATTAAGAAACGGTGAAAGAATTTGAACCCGAGATGTAATAGTTAGAGAGAAAGTCCCTAACCGTCATTAGAAGAGGAAGTCCCTAACACAATCCACCTTAGGAGTAATTGAATTCTGTTTTAGTTGAGTTTATAAAACACCAAAAGAAAATTGTGACGCCACGCCAATGAGCAGCTTGAAGATTGGTTCTTCTTCTCAATTTTGCAAGTTATCCATTTTTCCAAGAAACGTGTATATATACATTACATCATGAACAGGTGTGCAGAGTCGTATGATCATACGACAGCCCAAATTAGGCCCCATGATCAAGTGGATTAGCAGTCTTTGGTTTTGATCAAACCCAAATATGTGGCCATGATTTGGTCAATTTCGTGTCTTCCAATCCAAAAATATGTCTACAACCCAATCAGCTACGCGTAGCCTAGTTGGCATAGAGACAAAGTCATGGCTTGCTTTGAAATCTTGAACTAGTTTCCTAAACCTAAACCCTATATATATGATTACCCCATCCAAAACCAAAGATAAACCCCACGGAAAGCACATTGAGATCAATCAAATACACAACTCAACCCCATTCTCTTTTACATATATTTTCGAAGATCGATTGTTACATCCATGGAGAGGCCGGAAGGATATCCACAAGTAGATGATATTGCTACATATACAGAGCCATCGAGCACGAGCACTTCATTTTCGGGCACCAAGAATGATATGTCACAGCTCGAAAGCGGCCTACTTCGAAGAAATGTTAGCGACTTAGGCGACAGTTACTACAGATTCCAATCCCAAGTTGGAAAGTCTGTTGATCCAAAGTTGTTGGCGTTGGTAGAGTTTTTCAGGGAACTTTATTTTCGAAGGCTGGAACTGTTCAAGAAAATATTTCCGGGGATTCAAGATAAGTTTCTTGAGGTGCCAAAGAAATTGCATGTGATATTAGCTCAAGTGAAACCGGATGAAACCAAACTAGCTCGAACTATGCAACGGAGTCTGAGCGTTGGTTCACCGCGGGATTTCAAAGGAGGGGAATCGAAACTTAGGCTCGAGCGATTCAAGGTGAGGACTATTGATACAGGCGATGGTGTTGAACAAGGTGGCCTGCAGGGTAGTAAACCGGCCAAATGATCTGGTGGTTTCCAATAGGGGAAACAGGAAGGAAGATACCAAAAAATGGAATTGTCAATGGTTTTGTATTTTTGGAGAATATTTGACATTTTGATAGGATACAGATAAGGATGATCAATAACGGGGTGCTGGCGAAATAAGATATTCTTTTATTTGTTTATTTAATTATTTTTTTTAATGTTGTTGAGGTTTGTTGGTTGTTACCGAATTTGTCTACCTGACAATGTAAATAGGTTTTTTAAATATTTTTTTTGTACAATAATAATGTAATAATCTTGTATGTTCGCCTCTACAAATAGGCGAATATTCAAAATTTACAAATACTATTGTTGTTAGTCTTCAATCTTCATAAATTATATACGGATTTTCTGAAGATGTATGTGATAATGATATAAGTTGTATATAAATTTACATGCAACAGTTGGTTTCAAGTTGTCTAGTGAAATGGGTTTGAATAATGACTGATTTTTTTTTACGTGGTAAAACTCCACATATAAGGAGGAAAATTCATGCGGATACAACCGGTTATTGAATCCATCAACAAAAAAAAAAGGACTTGTACAAAACTCGGTGGCAGAGCCAAAATTTTAGGTGAGGAGAGACCTCACATAAATGTTAAAAAGAATTAAATAAAGAGAATTGTTATTGCACTAAAAAATTCTCATTTTGCACTCCAAACTTTCTATAATTAGAAATAAAAAGACATGTTTGGAGCTGTGAGCTAATTAAATTTTTTGAGGCTCTAAATGTTTTTCTTATGTTGAATTTAACCTTCCATTTTGGATGAACACAAAGCACTCAGTAGGTCCTCCTCACGAGCAAAGAGATTGCACATAGCTTCATCACACAAATGCACATGGCATCTTCACACAGATGAATGACATGTAAGGTATGAAGCTTTAAAACCTTGTATGATCAAATCTTATTGCCAATCAAAGAGGAACATCTTCTACACATAACCAAATAGTTGGAAGGCATGTGAATCCTATAATCTAGTTTAGACCAATTAACCTGATAGGCATGTTAGCTAAACTAGTTTGTTTAAACCAAGTTATAACCCCCAGAACTATACTGAGACAAAAAAAAAAATTAGAGCATTACATATCACATAAATAACATCTTGTGAGTCTAGTTTAATTAATTGTGAGAACATGGGGATAACTGTTGCGTCAATAGTCGTAGTTTTTCTGTTCAGCAAGGTGTGGCATGAAGTAATAGTGGCAGTGCTTAGCGGTGGTGATGGTAAAAAGCGGTGGCAGAACAGTATAGCAATGGAGATGGTGGCGATGAAAAATTTGAAGAGGTGTAGTTGCAACGATGGTGGCAACATGTAGCAGGGTAGGGTGATGGTGTTGATGTTGGCAGAAGGTGATGGAGACGGAACACTTTCTAGGTTTGCTTTAGAATTGGCTTGGCCCCAAATTTGTTCACACAAGACTTTGGTTTTCCTACTACATGGTGTCTAAGCGAGAGCGAGTATGAAGTGCGCCGCTGGCTGAAGTGAGGTTTTAGAAGCAAGCCTAACGATGGCAGGTACCCAATCCGAGGATCTAATTGGAAATTTGAAAGAGAGATATTGATATAATATGTATATATATATATAGTGGTTTACTACCAGGGCTTGCTCCGTCGGATTCATGGAGATGAATGTGCAAAGGAATAGCTCCGTCGCATACAAACCTCTGTGCCTTCATGTTCATGCTTCCTTCTTTTTTCGGTCTCCAAAATCTGTCTCTCAAACAGCGTCGTTCGGCTTCAGTGGAAACTGAGAGACTAACCAGTAAGACCACCAAAATCAATTGGATTCAATCTCGTCCGTCCGTTGGCAACGACCGTAATGGTCTAGTTAACAAGATCAGAACATCTTTTCTCACAAAATCAACAACTGGTGGAGATACAGTTTTGCCTCTATTTGTTCTTGCTGGCCCATTTGAGACAAAACAAGTTCGGATACGAACCATAGGTTGTAGAAGTCGAATGAGGATCCTCTCTAGATCCTCTTCGTGAGGATTCTAACAATCCTCAAATCTTGTGAGAATTCCAATGATCCTCAAATCATGTCCGTTTATCTTAAATTATACGGTCAGAAATCATTTTAAATACTCTTATTTTAAATTAAATATAAATAATACTTAATAAAAATTAATCGCATAATATAAAATAAATAGACAGATCCTTAAATCCTCATAAAGAGGATCCATAGTGGAGCCTAGTCAAAGATTCTGCAAGTGTGACTTGTAGGATCATTTTATAATTACAAATATGTTTATTTGTTTTTTTATTCACGTATCACAAATTTTGTGGGGCCATCGACTGTCTCCGTGTGCATATAACGGAAGATTTGAGGAAAATTGTAATAAATGTACTAAATTAAAATGAAATAATAAGTAAATGTATTAAATTGAAATGTTTTAAAAATGTATGAAGTTACGATTGAATGCAAACATGAGGGGATTTTTAAAGGAACACGTTTGGCAACTTAAGGATAAATAGGAACTCTGACCTAAAATTCTTTATGTTCGAATTACACAACCTTGTGTTTATAATCAAAACCGTTCATTTTATGTATCACTTTGTAAACATCATCTTTACAAAAAATGAATTAAAACTAAGATCGTTTAATCAATCTATTGTAGCAAATATATAAGCAATCTGTAATGTTTTTAACAATTCAGTTCATCTATTTGTATACAAGTTTTAATGTATAAATCGGCAATGAATAATTTTGAGTAAGAATCGTAGTTAGATATTTATTCTTTTTAAAACGTAGTTTACCCATAAAATACTCTCTCTACATTTGCATGGTAATTAAGAAGATGTTCACTTAAAGATTCTATTTGTACAGTCATTACTGATTAGGGACTGACGTGAGTATCAAATCTTAATCCAACTCCCAAAACCTGGATTTGATTTGGATCTGAGCAGCAAATCCCTCCTTCCGTACACCATATCCCTCCTTTTTTGGGTGGTTCTAGTCACATGGGCTTCCCCAGTCCCGGCTCTGCTCAAACCCTCCATGACTTCTTTCTCATCCGGTCCTGGCCTCTTCCCTCCAACACCAATACAGTTCCCTCCTCCCGCTTTCTCCACTCCCACACCCTAACTGATCTTTGAGCTGTCCTGTCCATGACAATTGGCTCAACCAAGACAGCAGCAGCATTAGTACCTGCTGCAACTCCAGCAGTGCAAAACCCATATCTCACAATTTTCACTACCTCTGTGGAAAATCCTACCCAATTCAGTGTAAATGAGAGGGACTAAGGGGTGCTGATTTTTTTATATGAATCATTTTTGAGCTGGTTGTGAATTTGGGTAAATTGGACAAACCCCAAATATAAAGTGATGATATCTTCAGGGATAAACCTGGTGATGACGGTGATTGGGTTCGCGGTGAGCACCATGTTCATCGTGTTCGTGTGTACCAGGCTTGTCTGTGCTCGGATTCACCTCAGTGTATCTAGACGCTCCTTCCCCATAGCTTCCGGATCTGATCTCAATATTGTATGTTTCTTCCCTTTCCAGTTCTTTAGTTTTGATTTGTTTTCTGAAATGGATTGTTCGTTTATCAGTAATTAGCTTTGATTTTACCATCTGGGATTTTTCCATTGGAAATGAATGACAATTTTCTTGGCGTGATTGTTATTGGTTTCACTTCTGTTCTTATTTAGTTATTGTGCGTCATAATACGTAGTTCTTATCGTTTTCTACATTGAACAAGGTTCTTGGCTTTTAGTTTTAAAAAAAAAATTGGAGCGATGGTCCCCGAGCTTTAGTCTAGTTCAAGCTTTGATTCCTCAACTAAAAGTACGCGAGTATTGGTCAAGAACTTGTCACAATGTGCAACAATGGTCGTTTCAGATAACTCCGCTAACTTCTTAGTTTTCCCCTTTAATCTCTTTATTTTGGATGAAGGTTCTAAATGTCTTACTCAAAAGGACAATCGCTCAGCTTTGTGACTAGTTCAGGGACCAATACTCACTGACTTTTAGTTCAAGGGACCAAAGCTCCAAGCTTCTCTTAGTTTTATGCACAATATTTATTTTCAACTTTTTTTTTTCTGACTTCCTGAGTTTAGTTTATCATTTTGAATTGATAGTTAGTGTTGTACCTTTCAGACATTTTAATATATGTTTTCGGTCTTTGTATATCTCATGACTTATTCTGGTGAATCACATAAAACATATACAAACAGGCCTATGCATATGCAAATTTTCTTTCTTTTTATTAAACAAGCTTATGTGGATACGTATCTTTGACCATGAATTTAAATGGTTCTTCACTTAATTCGTGTACAGCTGGAACGGGGATTGCATGGCGTTGAACCTGTAGTAATAGCCAACTTTCCAACAAAGAAGTACAGTGATGCATTTTTTTCAGCTGTAGAAGATGCTCAGTATGTTATTTCTTCAATTCTTCTATTCCTCACTTTAATTTCTGTTTGCAGTTTTTCTCATTTGATTGATTGTAATATGCAAATGTTTGCGAGGTGTATGATTTTCACTGTTCTGAACTTGAGTTCATTATTTCCAATTTTCCATAATATTTGGTATAGGTAATTGTACTAGTGAGGATTTGGAGTTCAGATTCTCAACCATATTTGTCTTATAATTTGTTTAGTATTGGAATTTGAAAAGACCTGGGAAAGGGGTAGAGGGATTTCCAGTGGTAATTGGTGAGTGTGTGTGGGTCATAAATCAAATAATTGATAGGTTCCCATTACGGATGGATATTCATTTGGTAAGGTTTTAGGAATATAGGCATACAGCAGGTAGCAAACATTCTGAGCCCTGGAAGAGTATTTCCAAGTAGTGCCATGTTCTGTGTAAGGAGTTTTGGGGAATGGAAGTATGTGAATGCACTAATTTATCTAGCGGGTCTTGAAGGGGTATTACCTGTGACAGAGGAATTATCAAGAAATATAAGATTTCAAACGATTGTAGTTTAAAGTCAAAGCACAACATATCATGAAGGCATACACAATGACCCCCCCTTAGCTTTTC